CTCCGCCCCTCCGCCCCCCCCCTGATCCACGCCCGCCCTGCCCAGATATGGAACTCACAACAGAAACTTAGATAACATAAGCACGTATCAGAACTAGCGCAATCCCAGAGCAAACGTGCTGTGTTGCAAAGCAGACAACGCCAGCGGCAAGCTGCCCAGGCGGCGAGCAAAACTTAAAGTTACTTGCAGTCTACAACTACGTACAATGCCTGGAAAGCAAGAGGGGGTTTACAGCAGGTGCATGCGGGCTTCTGAGTATGAGACTGGCGCACACAGATCTTTTAACGAATTCTTCGTCTTGGTGCTGGCGGCGGTTGTGGTGGCAGCGGGGGAGCGGGGCGGTGGAGGCGGCGCCTGTGGTGTTCCCAAATTTTTGCCGTTCAACAACCAGGAATCCAATGATCTAGGATTTCCCTCTCGATCTCAACAAGGTTCCAAAAGGCACTTGTATTCACCGGAACCATCTGAAAAACGGGGAGTCCAGGATATCCGCGTTGGTTCTAATGAACTTTGGGTGTTTATATGGACCAAAACCAGCTCTAAAACCAGGATTCCAGGATTTTCGCACTAGTTTTACTTCCGTATTACTTTTCATGCAATGCAAGCAGGGCTTATCTGTTTGGACCAAAACCAGATGGAAACCAGGATTCCAGGATTTCCGTACTAGTTTTATTGAAATTGGAAAAAGGATGTATATTAACCAAAACCAGCCCCCCAAAACCAGGAATACAGACATCCCTAAAAGTCCTAAAAACTCAGCATTTGGGGATGCCTGTGGTAGAGTTCACAGAGAGTTCAATGGCTTTAACAAATAATTCGTGCAATAGCGAATCGCAGCTTTCAGAATCTGATTGCCACAAACAGCTGAGCACATCGTTGTGTGAAAATGCCGAAGCCTTCGGTATTTTCAGAAGTTTCTCAACATGGCAGATCTCAGACAGAAGAACAGATGAACTGTTCATGATTGTGAAAAGCACTGGGTGCCCAATATGAGCATGTTAACGTTCCTGCAAAGGTGGACTTCACCTGGTACACCATCAAGGTCCTTGAGGCGCGGAGCTTGGCATAGTTTATCGTGCCTCATACTGGTAGGTTCTTGTAGGAGTAAGTCTGAGTGGAAGCAGCTCCTCCAAGGGTTTGGCTGCTAGCAGAGCTCCTTGAATCTAGGATTCGAGCATTTCATGGGACATGAGGTCGATCCTTAGCTTGTCATTCGGGACATCCATTGGTGCCGTTTTTGGGTCAAGAGGCTAGCCCACCCCCTAGAGCCCTTGATTCGTTGGACCTTGCAACACCTTATTTCTTTCGTCGGGATTGCGATTCTAGGCCCGCAAAGTAAAGCACCATTTTGCTGCATTCTCGATCACTAGGATACAGAACTGCTACAAGGCATTGCAGTTTCCCAGAGCGTGTCTTCCTCATGTGCACATGATCCGTACGATTTTGTGATCTTGATCCTGGCAGCCTCTCGTATAGAAGAGCCCCTAGATGGACCCTTCTATGCAACAGTAGAGGCGGTACAAATCTGGGGCTTTAACCTTTTAAACGCCTACGGGAGTCTGCGCTGTAACTGGGGTAGAAGCCTGAATGCCTTGTAGTGCTATGGGCGCCATATTCGGTAGCACAGTACCTATTCCTATTGGGCTCCACACTGCCCCTAAGCCCTAAACCTTCAAATCTTGAGAGGTTTTCGGCCTCGCCAAGAACTTGCAGCCTGGATCCCTGCTCTTGTCCACAGCTAGTCTTACTGAACATGTAGAGAATAAAGGAATGGATAGCATTTTGGGTATTCCTATAGTATCCCCGCACAATCCTAGGCAAGAATCCCTACGTTCTATTCCTGACTTCCCTGCCAAGCACCAGTCCACTAAATTTTGTCGTCGGCATCTGCAAACATGTGGGCCTGCGCATTTTGGATAGGTTGAGGTTGTGGGTAACTAGCCGTGAAGAAGGCCTATATGTGTGCGTATACATATACATATATATATATATGTATCTATGTTTTACGTATACACATACATATAAAGTGTTGGGGTTGGAACAAGCCGAGAAGCCACTCCGGTCCATATCCTGCCCAAGACCTCTCGATCACGGGCTTGCATCCCCATCCAGCCTTAATTCCATACCCTCAGAGTCCCTTCTGAAAAGCTGAGCTTTATAATACCTCGTACCATATGGGTTCCATCCCGATTCCAGATCATGGGCGTTAATCTGTCAGCTCTAGAAGTCTACGAACGTTCCATATTCATGTGCGTCCCAGGTGCTAGTGGATGGTTCCAGAGTGTTTGGAACAGAATAGTGAGGTGTCCTAAAGGGCCCTGCTATTTGAGAAGCACCCATAAGAGGTTGATAGACTCTGATAGGGCACCCGCCAGATAGATGCAGAGTAAAGGACGCCGGAAATTGAGACCATGCTGTTGGTACATAGCGTCATGGGCAAATGGTTTGAGGCATCTTGAGGGAGAATCGATTAGAAGACGTGGGAACCCTCGCAAGAGCCCCGCGCAAAGGTGCAGGTGTGTGTGTGTGTGTATGTGCTAGCATTTAGATTTCTGCTACCGAAAGTCATGCGAACTCCGTCAGTAGTGTCAACCACTTATAAGACTGAGGATGATGTCCCTTGTACACGTCGGCCTTTTATCCTTATATAACCCTATAATGTAGTAGTTTCCATTTTCTTTTCCAAAGCCCCCATATCCCCCTATAGCACGCAAACCCTGTGTAACCCATTATAGTAGTTTCCATCTTCCATCCTATAATCCCTGTATAACCCCGAAAATTGTAGAGTCTCTATAATTCCTGTACTTGAGGTATCCGCCCAAGGGGAAGATGCAGAAGCTAGCCATGTGACAGGCGTCGAACGGCAGTAGCTCAGGAAGACACATGCTTACAGTCCCTTCAAACGGATTAATAGGGGGGTATATAGAGGTATAAAAGGGCTTAGGGTTTCAAAATTATGGGTACCTTTTTGGGGGTCCAAAAAATGAGGACTATAGTATTTGGGGTTTATAGTAGGGTCCCCCTAAATGAAGATATGAGGACATATTGTTATATTGGGGCTCTATAGGGGTAATATAGGGGAGAATGGAAAAGAAAACGGAAACTATTATATTACAGGGCTACATAGGGGCAATATATGCGTGCTTGTCCTGGATTTTCTACTGATGGTTGGGTTGTTTCGGCTGAAAGCGGTATGCAACGTGCCAAGAGTTTGGGATGTTGTGCTCACTCCAAAGCAGTACAATCATGAGCGCTCTGGGCTGGAGACCGCAAACAAACATTGATTTCTTGGACAAGTTCAATGCGAGCAATACTTCCAACAAGTCCAAACCCTATTCTGCGAAACAAACTGGGGTAGCCCAGCCCAAAGCGACAGAGCTCTACATGCCAACATCAAGACACACAGAAAGCATTGCTTGCTTGCCTTGATGCACTGGCCCTAGTCCTGGGCCAAGGAACCTTGAGCTCTAATTCTTGGACCCCCACAAGTCCTCACTGACAGGTCTGAGAAGCCTTGAAGGATCCCTGAGGCCTCGGATTACTTTGAGGTCTTGGGTAGGTGAAGCCTGCTCTACATCCTCACCTCCCTTCCACATACATCTAGAGTGGGAAGCTATGCTTGGAGTGGAAGTTTGCAGAGGAAGTAGGCTAGAACCACCCTGGGCCTCTGTTGTGACCTGTGGCCTTTTTTCCCATCTTTGGGATCCAATCCCTGCTGTGAGATAGAGGCTGCCTTCGCAGATGAGTTTGATTGAGAGCTTTGAAGCCTCGCATGCTTCGCTGACAAACTCCCAACTATAGCATTCACCCCAACAGCAAACTTGCTGTCCTTGCCACTGCAGTGGAGCAAGCAATGGTCTCTTGAGAGCAAGGTGGGTAGGCCGGACCCCGGATTTACAGGCTGCGGAGCGGAAGTTAAGTCAGAAATTCAACTCGCGGCCTGCCCTGCCTGTGCAAATCCTCAAATTTTCAAGTTGAGTCTATGAGCACCACCACTTCCACGATGAATGGCTCTGAAGCACCAGAACAATGATACTGCCTCCCACAGTTCGGGCTGGAATTCTGATAAATCCATAAATGAAAGCTGCAAGTGAATGGAGGTAGAGGCTGGCTGCCCAAGGGGCTGCGTAGCCCCTGATCTTTCCGAGAGGCGGCAGACCAAAACGATCGCGAGCAGGTGTTGTGTAGTCCAGGACTTTCATGTGTCGCATGGTGGGTTTGATTGTTGTGAGTAGGGACTGAAGGAATAAATCCCTCTAGTAGCCCATTCATAATTCCCCACAACAGCCTCGAACCAACCCCATAATGATGCTCAAGGCTGCTTTCAGGGCAGTTCTGTTGTCGCTCAAGTTCCAAATTCCCAGGCTTCTCTGAGACCAGCTCGCATATGCTGGATAGTTGGGTAAGCAATCCGCACTCCACGCCAGCTCAGGATCTAGATGCGGTTGCTACGGACAGTGACATGCAGAGGTATCATAGGAGTGAAGGCCAAGGACAACGTCATGTGATGCCGGCTGCTGCCGAAACAGCCCCAGTTCTACAAAGACCACAACCCCATCTTGTAGGTCTCCACAGAGGGTGGGCCCTGAACCTCTCAAACTTGGGCTTCGACCAAGGTGAAACTGTCGGAACAGTGGAACCTGAACTGGCACAAGTACAACATCGCTGAAACCGGAGAGGAGGCAGCTGCGGGTTCAACAGGGGTGGGTCTTCTTTTGGGTCTGCAGTGTACCACAGAAACCTATGTGGTAACCAACGGTATTTCCTCATGATTCCTATAATCTAGCCACAGAGAATATTAATGAAGCATGCCCCAATACCTGATCTTTTTTAATCAGGCCTCTATAGCAGGGACTCAGGCTGTGTTTTGAAGATGCCGCCCGCCCAAACATGACAAGTAACTGTAAGGTTTTCGCTGGAAGGTTCAATTGCACATTGCTATCGCGAGGTTGGTGTTGACTAAGATTTTACATGTGTATTGATAACTGAGCCCACATAAACTAAAACATGATCACTTCTATCAGTCCCTTGACAACGCTTGAAGTGAACACGCGACTCGTGGAACTGTGTTCGTTCTCGCGGTTTTTATGAAGATATTCACGGGTGTAAGTTTGGCCGTTTCTTGTTCGAATTATGACTGTCATTTTGCTCTCACTGTCTTTGACTTTCTCCAAAAATACCCTGAACCCGAGAGCCACCGTATAGTCAGGCACCCAGGTTGATTAAATGGACACTGTTGTTTCTGTCTTGTATGGCTTTGAGATCATAGTTCCGCTACCACCATGCTGAGACGGAAGCTTGAACTCGGCCACGTTTGAACACCTTCCCTGTTCTGATAAGACGGCGTAACCATGAACTTTGTTCTATCGTTGGTTTTTTCCAGCCAAGTTGTCATTGTTGTACTGAGAGTCCCCAGCTTCGAGCAATTCCATATGGAGCTTCATAAGGAGAAGTTTGGTTCTTTTTCAGGCCGACAAACAGAAGTCGAGTTCCGGTGGGAATCAGGCATTCTGGCTTCATTACAGTAGAGATCAAAACCGCCTGAAAGGAAACAAGACTGCAAGTAGCAGAAACGAAGCCGCCGTAAGCAAAACCCTGGCGTTGGTAAGCATTTTCTTCAAGGCGATAGTGCGCGAGGGGAGTGAAACGAGTGCCTTATCGGATCATTACCCCTGTCTTTGTCGGAAACTGTGAGTTGTCATTTTATGTTGTTTTGCCGTCTCTGGAATGACATTATCCTTAAACCCAAAGAGGGGGCAGTGAGTTTTCATCCCCCGAAGGCATATGAAGTGAACTGCTGCCGTGGCGGCAGGGGCTTCTACTTCATGCCTGGCGCTCGGTGTTGCCAACCTTCAGAAAATACTGTAGTTGATGTTATGTATTATCGCATGAATCTCAGGACCCCTGTGGTGAGAGCGTCTTGTTCCTTCTGGTGGTATGGGACCGCCCCTGAAAGCTTGAAGCCCATAACCCTTCAAGCCCTAAACCACTCTTGGTTCATACAGGGGCTTCTGAGAAGGGGGTCACTCTTCGAACCCTGGAGATACATGGGGATTGTATCTGGATGGCGGTGTCCCTCTTGAAAATGTCATGTGAGTGATTGATCTCAAGGCCATGCCAGTTACCTATGAAGCGTGTCGAACTGCCCGCTCATCATGATACAGCAGCCACACACCAAACCCCGCATCTGACATCTTTCGCCAAAACTGCATCTTTATCCCAAAGCGCAGGCCCTGAGCCCCAGTCCTCACAATAATGCAGACACCACAGTCCCAACTTTACTGCCCTAGACAGGGGGAGAAACATAACCCCTCTCTCGGCTAACCCCTAACAAGAAACCTCATTAACAGCCAAAGCCCTGGTGTTTGTCCCATGGCTCAATGATGTTGGCGCTCTTCCGCAGGCACTGTAAATGGAGGCAGGAGACCCCTTGGGTATGTCACAATTGGAAGCGGCACATGTTGCCTCCCTCAAGCATGTTGCATGGATCCGTTTCGTGTTTCACATAGTCAGGCCTCTTTCATTTGAGGGCGTATTGTGGCACACCTGATGTGTGACTAGGTTCATACTGTACAAACTTCCTGAATCTTACTGCCCTCAGAACAGCTTAATGCCCATGACATCGGCACATGGCAACTACAAGATTCGTAGAAAATATAAGAATCCTGCTTGGTTCTTAGAATGGAATACTGGAACATTATAACCCTGATATAATCCCCATATAACATATTCCCTTATTCCCTACCAAGAACCACTACGTAAGTTTATGGTTCTCAAACCAGTCCTACTGGATGCTAGCAGGGGGCCCTGCTGCTTTGCCTCAGATCCCCCCAACTCCCCCAACTCCCAGGGTTTTCTGCGGATGCTTTCTGAGAATCTCCGGGTTTAGGGTTTAGGGGGTGCAGGCTTTCCTCATCTCTCTACCATTCTTCGAAGCGTTACGACCCCGCCAATCCCCGTTGACAGCCCGTGTTTCGTTTCGTTGTCCATGTTCTTGTCCAACAGATTCTGCATTCTTGGTCGCTATACAGGCCTCCACTCAGTAGTGCCATTTAGAGCCTAATGCAACTTCGCACAGCTTGGAACAACCCTCGCCATCCAGAACATTTCAAGGGTAGGCTAAAAACATATAGCCCTGTGTGATACAGGCTGTAGATTAGCCATACAATCGCTCAGCAGCCTTCCTTTGCCAGCCAAGAGAACCCTACCGTACGTAAGCACGAGTGCGAGCCACAGTAAATCCTACAAAGCCGTATCCAGATGTTTCGCATTCTAATATGACAGGTTACCAGCAGCTGCCATACTTGGAAGAAGAGGCGCCCTGGCCAAAGCGCCAGAGGACTTGCAGGACATTATTAGGGTTGAGGTGATCGGGGCAGAATAAGCCCGCCAAAAGAAAGGTTCAGTTTAGACTTAAGGCGCAGGGTTTATATGATATGCTGACTCACTAGGGTTTAGGACAACTGGCTGAAGAACAGGAAGCGTTCCATATACTTGGAGGTTTGAAGCTATTGTTTGCTCATGCTAGCGGGGCCAGTCTCAAGACAGATCCTTAGAGCCGCTGTAGTATCTTCGCGCATTCCCTTGCGCAGTCGAATGAGTGGAGCATTGCCAGAAAGAGGGACGCCCCTGATATCTCCCAAACGCCACAGTCCATTTTGTACGGGCCAGAAGGGGCACACTTGTTCCGGAAACCCCAGACCCTAAACCCTTGTTGGGTGTTGCTGCTGATGTTGTGGGGTGCGTGGGCTTCTGCTTCCGATCCGGTGGCTAGCTTTGCCGGAACCCCGGAACGAACCGTGCCTTCTGAGTCCAATGCGCGTGCCAAAAAAAAAGCAAATATCCTGGCA